GAAGAATGGATGCCAAATCCAACAGCGCTTTATTTTCACTGGTCACGTTCTTGCTTTGTTTCAAAAATTTGGAACCAGGCTCATGAAAACAACAGTTTACAAATTATTTGGGATACAAAAGAAAATATGGAAATGGTAGAAGCCACTGTATTTGAGTATACAAAGGGGTGTGGATGTAAGACTGGCTGCACAGGTTGCTGTTTTGAAATTAACAAAGAGTGTGGACCTGGATGCAGGTGCAAGAATTGTACAAACACAGGACAAAACAAAGAAGTTGACAGCAAAGATACATCTAATCTAATAGTGGAAGAAATGCAGTCAGCAGATACAGAAAATCTTGAAGTGGAAATTATAGAAGAAAAGGAACTTGTAGAGGATGATGTGCGTGAACTTGATGAAGATGAGGAGGCAGCCCAAGCAGATTATGAACAGGAATACAAAGATGAACAATAAAAATAATTACATAACTACAAATAATTTTACAGCCCACATATTGGACGTTGAAATACTGTCAGATGTTGATTACATTCTGCAATATTTTTTTTTCAGTTTTATTGATGTTGTTACAATACACTAAGTCATGTTGAGCAGTGCTCCTCTCCAGTTTGCCAAATTGTAGTACCGTTAAATCAGTATTAAAAGTCGCATTTCTAATTTCATTCTTTTTGAACAACTGAGAACCAAAAATTCACCATTTCTCATGTGTAGATGCTCTAATAGAAGCCGCATCCCTTCGTTTCATTGTATCATTTTAATAGAAGTCACATGCAATGCCTTTCCCTATACGAGTTGTGCATACTAATGAGGTCACATAACTCAAATTTTGTTTACCCTTAAAGTAATAAGGTATGTGGATTATCCAAGAGTATATATGTACCAAGTTTCATTTCAATTTTATGAGATAGCTGCGAAAGACCTAACCCAGTACTCTTATACAAACTTTCATTAAAGCGGGTCCATCGTCGTGCTGCGCATGTCCAGAGTTTTTATTTACAAACACCTTTTGTTGCCCACAATGCACCTCGCTATTTTTTTTCTAATTCAAAATGATGTTGAGATATTAGTGGAAAATCTGAAATTTCACCAATAATTTCAACTCAAATTTGGTCTTGGCATTGACCAAGAGCTTTAAAGTTATTGGAAAATCAGTAGAAAGGCTGAAAATTTATTAATTATGCAAAATCAAATCTGTGAATTGCCCATGGGAAATCTGTTGAGTAGTTCTGGAGATATCTATGGGCAAAAACTGAAATGTTGCGAAATGTGCAAACTGTGCGTTGTCAATGGTCATGTATAAAGTTTCATTGAAATCTGTTGTATGGTTATAGAGATATCCATGGGAAAGCTGATAATTCACTAATTATTGTAAAGTAAGTAATTAATATAGACCAACATCAACCAAAAACTAATCAAGTCTGTGCTTTGAACCCAATGCATCCATGTACCAAGTTTCATGGAAATCTGATAAACCTTTCCTGAAATAATGGAACAGACAGATTCCATTTGTGTGCTCTTCCTCTTTGGTCGGAAAAGGGCAATGCAGGATCTGAAAATTAATTACCCTACAGGATTCTTCCATCGGCTGGTAAAACCCACTTATTAAATATTTTGATTGCTGATTTTCCCCATAGACAAGCTTGAAGAATAAACCTTTTTCCCATATTGCAGAACAAGTGGACATCATGCATTCCACACTTGGCTAAGGAACTAATATAAACACTCTGCAGTAATATTAACATTTCACACCAGTATACAGCAACAGAACTGATTTAAAGGGTAATCTTTAATCACAGCAAAATGTGTAATAACTATAGCTAAATTTTTTTTAAATGCAACTATATATATATTAAATAAATATAGCTGATTCTCGTACACTTTTGTATCATATTACGTATGCAGTGCTTAATAAGATAAAAAATCCAACTGACAGGCTTAGAAAAAGGCGTCAAGTCAGTATTATATATAATATATACACAGTTCAAATAAAACTCAATTCAAATTACACAGACAGTAAAACAGTCAAAACAAAACTAAGTAATAGAAATAATAACTTTTTTTTTTTTTTTAAATGTTAATCTCAAATCAACTGAAGTCAAAATGTGGAGATTCAGTTGCACAAATAATATAAGCTAAACAGATAAAAAAACAAAACATGAACGTTTCCCAAGGCTATAGATTTAAAATGTACATACTTGTGGTGAAATGAACTGACATTACATGTATGCACAATAATTGTACTAGAAATCTGTATTATAATGGCTACATTTGTGTGATATTTGCATTTTTTTTATAGAAAAAAAATGAGGTTAAACTGACTGTGAAATAAGTTTTTGGCGGACAAGACAAAGGCACTGCTTCAGAAGAATTGCATCATACATAAAACCCACTCAGACACAAGAATAAAATGAAAAGACAGACGAAAAACAACATAATCCATTATACAATATGAAAGAGGAGAATTGGTTACTGGAAACAGGTTGAATCAGTTTGTATAAAATTTTAACAGCCATGATAGTAACTACATACATGTATACCATACCAGACACATCTTGGCCCACAAAACACCGAGACAACTAACATCAGTGATTTGTATACAGATAATACAAAGAGCAATATAAACAAGTGGAAAAAATGGTTTAACTTATTTACAATATTGTATCATAATCATTGATTCAATGAAGAAAGTAAGAACTACATGCATACTTTGTCATATCTTGGGCTATATAAACAACAGCCTGTTATTGCGAGTCGCGCCAATAACGTGGAAAGATGCAATGCATATAGACAATGTAGACAACATATGCTACAAATTGCTCTAAATTTCACAATCAGTGATATGCATACATTTGGCTTCAATAAATCCCTGTCTACAACAGTCTTTAATAAGAAGAATCCAGCTGCAAGGTGGCTTTGGCCAAAAGCTCCAACAGTTTGCAGAATGTATGGAATTGTTCCCGGGCATTAAACTGGGTTTTATTTAAAATTATAATATTTACACATCAATATACACATTTGTTGGAAGAACAAACACATTTGTTTGCAATGTTGATGAAGTATGATTATCAGCTAAGATTCCAACTACGGTAAGTATCGGTGACGTTGTAAACGCAACATAACAGTATATATAACTGCTGGCCACAAATGGGATCAATTTTTTTTTTATTGATCAGCATAAAAAACACTGCACCTGCACATGGGCCAAGTGATGTGATAAAACTCGTAGACACTAGTACACCAAACATCTTCTTACAAAGCAGAAAGTTATTGGGCTCTACAGGACAACAGGCATGATGTAATCTTTGGGTTGGTCAGTCTATGTAACTGGTATGCCCTCTGGAGATAAGAGTGCAGTTAGAGATCTCAAGTTTGTTCGCTGCAAGTTAATGGCGTGAATTTGTCAGCAATAACAGAGTAAATAAATTTACTGTAAATTTCATTCATTAAATGTCACTTCTGGAGGAGTTATTTGCAGGAGGTCTGTACATGTGTTACTGGCCTTTTCCTCTCTTGTAGTTGCTGTCTGTAATTCCCAAGCTTTGCTCTAAGATCACCAAATAATTCAATTTTCCTGGCAAGGATTTCATCTAATCTGGTAACATAATCTGTAATGCAAGGAGGGACAAAAAACGTCAGAACATGTGCACCTTTCTAACTGGGGATTTTTTGGTTGAAAAATAACAAATTATGTACAATTCTTCAAAACTTATATATTTATAATGAAGACCTCTTTCCCTAGCAATCAACAAACTGAACAATCTTGACTTTTTGAATTCCATTTTGACTGAAGATCCCTACAAAATCAGTCCTGTTAGAGGACACTTTGTAATCAATCATATCCTCCCTTGGTATTAACCATGACAAGTGTTAACCATAACCCTGGCTGAATACGCCATACTAGATGGTTGCCTGACAAGGTCACGTGTGTTGCACTCTCCGCGGTGCTCTAAACCCAACATGCCTGACAAAAAGATGTAGTTTTTCACTTCCCCCTAACGATTTTTGGTAGGTACCAATCAAATTGCACGACTGTCAGATAGTGACAGCCATCAAAGAGTAACCATTTACGGCAGAGTTTATTTCCACCCAATGTTTATCATCTTGACTGACGGTGTTACCATGACCACCAAAATGAATATTCATTGAACTCATTGCAAAAAGGCATAAACTATGCAAATTCGCAGTATCGATCTTGCTGAGACATGCACTTATTCTGTCAGGCGTTAGTGAGGTCTGACGTTCGACTGAGACATGCACTTATTCTGTCAGGCGTTAGTGAGGTCTGACGTTCGACTGAGACATGCACTTATTCTGTCAGGCGTTAGTGAGGTCTGACGTTCGACTGAGACATGCACTTATTCTGTCAGGCGTTAGTGAGGTCTGACGTTCGACTGAGACATGCACTTATTCTGTCAGGCGTTAGTGAGGTCTGACGTTCGACTGAGACATGCACTTATTCTGTCAGGCGTTAGTGAGGTCTGACGTTCGACTGAGACATGCACTTATTCTGTCAGGCGTTAGTGAGGTCTGACGTTCGACTGAGACATGCACTTATTCTGTCAGGCGTTAGTGAGGTCTGACGTTCGACTGAGACATGCACTTATTCTGTCAGGCGTTAGTGAGGTCTGACGTTCGACTGAGACATGCACTTATTCTGTCAGGCGTTAGTGAGGTCTGACGTTCGACGAGGGCCTACTCACGCCTACATGTAAGGCTACTGACCAGAATTCATTCACTAATGGAGGGCGAGGGGAATCTTCATAAAGAGTCAAAACAAGTGCAAAATGTACTACCTTCTATATCATAATCTACTTCATCTGTCATTTCAAGTAGTTGAAACTCTTCCTCTATCATCTGTCTGTTTTCTTCCACACTGTTTTTATGGTCATCTATGACTTGTTCTTCCAACTCCTGCAGTTGATTCATCACCTCATGGAGTGTCATCATTTCAGCAGAAACTTCTTCTTCCTGTGTATGTATCAAGACAACCATTGTCTAAGTTAGTGTCAGGTGACCAACAATGTTCCCTCCCTCCCTACCTCCCTCATACA